AATCCAACGCTGGCCGTTCTACGTTTCGAACTTCGTGGGAATCGCGCGTCCAGGGGTGGGGTTGGAGGAAGAGACGCATGGCTGCTCCTGCCCGAAATGTTCCAACCTCTCGGCCGAAGTGTAAAAAGAGCGGCACAATCGCAACAACGCCGCCCTTGGCGGCAACGAGGTTGGAAGAGGCAGAGGATGGGGGGTCAGAGAAAGACAAACAGGCTTGAAAAGGAAGATTGAGATGGTGCAACATGTCGCTCAACTCACTTTTAGCAAATCCACGTGCTTCCTGGATCGCTACGATGCTGCCGCGATGGAGGGGGCGGCGGAGGAAGCGGACCGTTTTCAGTCGCACCTTCTCGTCGTGATGGAACAGGGCTCGGGCGTTCCACGTCGCGATGCGGACTGAGAAAGATGAGGCGCCCGAGGGCGAATATGCACCGTTCCACATGGCACTGCTGTTGTTAGGAACTCCACGCAGTCGGACTTGGACCCTCAACAGCTTCCTGCACGATGGACTTCATTTCCTTCTGCTGGATGCCGTCCGCCACCAGGTTGGCGGCTGCCCACTGAACTTCGGGAACTTCTTCCGTGGGAACTGGAATAATCTTGATGAGTGGACGCCCATTCGTTGAAATCTCGCCCTTGTGCTTGTCCGTGAAAAAGCGCCTCGTTGGGCATGCCTCCTCCAGTGCTCGACGCGCACCTGTGAGACTGGTCTCGCGCTTGATGGTGCGCGCGTTCTTGTCGGGGCCGACGAACATCAGAGCGCCCTCCCAGTGGTGAAAGTCGCTGGACAGCTCCGATGCACACCTCCACCACCGCCGGGGGGGTCGATGGAAACGAAGGTTGCCGAGCGCCTGCGCGACCTTCCGCGCCGCACGCAAGGGCCTTCGCGCCTGTGATCCTGATAATGTATTTTTTCCTGGTGGGCTCGCCCTCCGCGAGCCAGTCGTCCTCCGCGATGTTCGAGTCCTCCATCCAACTACGCACAGCGTCTGCCACCGCGGTGGACGATGATGCCCGCGTCGATCTCGCGATCGAAAGTGGAGCCCGGGACAAACGCTTTGATGGCTGGGGGCTCTTTCTTGACGATGCCGAGCTCCGCGCGGAGCTCACGGATCTCCTTCTCGGCGAAGGTGATGCGGTCGTCGTCGGACTTCTGGGCGACCTCCACGACATTGAGGCGCTGCTCGACATCTTTGTGCAGGTCTTGGCGTCCCTTCGAGAGCGATTCTCGTAGGCTTGCCATGGATGCGTTAACGTTGGCCGGGGACGCAGCGACGTTGTCAGAGACAGTCGAGACGTTGGCCTTCACGGTCTTGTGGGTGAGGTCGGCTGCAGAGCGGTACTTGTTTTGTCGAGGTCAGCCCGCACAGAAGCCAACTCAGAGCGAACAGCACCCATGTCACCCTTGTGCCTTTCCCCTGAGTGCCGAAGGGACCCTGGGGGAGGTACGAAACTCTCCTCCACGCTTTTGTCGTCGGAGAAGGTCGGGGCGGCTTCCCATGCACGGAGGAATTCTGCGTCAGCCGGAGCCGACTCGGGGCCAGCGCGAGCGGGCGTGGCCACCTGAGCACCATTGCCACTCATTTCCGCCTCTGAGGATTCAGAGGCGCCCGCGAGAAGAAGGGGCTGGTGGTGCGATGAAATGGAAGCGGCGCGAAAGATGAGGGAGGCGCCGCTGCCTCTCCCCTCTCGGACCAGGCGGCGGAAACCCCAAAGCTAATCGCTGGTTGTCGGGCGTCCATAGCCCTTCAAAGCGTTTAGCCTTGAGCCAAAATGGCTACGGACCTGAACGTCCTCGTCCTCCACCTCCTCCACCTCGTGAGATCCCAGACGCCTGTGGAAGTCCCTAACGGCCTCTGACCGACTCCACAGGCTAAACCAAAAAACCTAACCTATGTCCAACAACCTCGTTTTTCGATCCTCGGATCTAGAACCTTGACCATCCTCTTACCATCCTCTCCTCCTCCTGTTTTTCTTCTTCTTCTTCCTCCTCCTCCTCCTCGTCCTCCCCTCCTCCCCCAGATCTCCCCTCCCCTGGGGTGTATTCTGACCAGGATCTCGAAGGGAACCCAGCCGTGGCGATCAGAAGACCCCCCCCAGAGACCCAGCACACGGGAGAAGGGCGAACCCAACCCCCGAACCTCGACTCCCCCCTCCGACGTCTCCCCCACATCCTCGCCGATGCGGAAATCACCGCCGCCGCCAAGATCGGCGCCACTGTCGACGCCAGTCGTCGTCTGGCTTTCCGGTCGTACCTCAAGAGGCCGTTCAAGAGCAGTTCGGGCACCCCCAGAACGCCGAAGCAAACCGCCGAGAGTCGACGAAGCATAGTAGTCCGAAAACCGTCTCGGATCCAGCTGCCGATTCTTGAGCTTGTGGCATTCTCCCACTCCCACCCTGGCCCCCGCTGGGGCCTGCGCGCTGGCGACGGCTTGCCCTGCCCCGGCTGCTGCCGCCGCAGCAGAAGCGTGGGCGGCAACTCCGGGCCCGCAGGCGCGCC